TCTGTGATCATATGTGCACAATCAAGGCAATAAACTAATTTTAATAAATTAAATTGTGTATTTCTCCATTTACAATATATTCTTCTTTAAATAAACTTCGAAATATCGATTTCCTGGCTATAATTTTGCATAAAGTGTGTATTAAAAACAAAATACCCAAAATTTTTTACGCACACACAAAAAAAATCACGAAATTTACTCTAATTGACAAAATTTATAAGTAGTGGCCCATTTGTTATCATTAAATGGTCTTAATATTTCAAGTAAATATTTAAAAATTTACCATTGTAAGTACAAATCTCTTTAGTTTGGTCTTCAATGCAAATTGCGCATGATTTTTGCGGTTATATAACTATAATCTATGCTACAAAACAAAATTTTATATAAAAAAATTTACCACTATATCAATTGATAAATGTAATTTTTATTTTGCACAATAACCATCGAAAAACGTGTTTACTGACAAAATTAAATCATATCTGACATAACTTTGATAATAAAAAAAAAAATTAGCAATTATTTTTAGGGTTAGAGTTGGACCGTGGACGCTGGGTGGTTAAGGCGTCCGACTTATATATTGCTGCGCTAGCGCTACTGGGTTCGAATCCCATCAAAGCCCATGGATTTTTAATTGAAAATAGTCTGAAAAATATATTATAAAGTTGTTTCACCCCTCGTCCACGAAACCCAACGGATAGTTGGACGTTAAGCCCACCTGTATGGCTGGAATTGCTTTTCTTTTTGGGGTTAGGCATGAAATTTAAAGAGCAATGAAATTGGATATTCATTCTACATGTCAAAAATTATAACTAACTCATTTGTTATCTTCAGAAATATTATTAATTTTGCAAATTAGAAGAAATGCGCCATGATATGTTAAACAACAATGTTTATGTCGGGTTTTTACTGAGCTTGGGATGATTATACAACCATAATTAGGGCAATAAAATTGTAATTTAATAAAATGAATTAGCACTTTATTTTCAATGAGAAATATCTTTTATACACAATTATCTTTAAAAATTGTTTTATTGCCCTAATTCTGTCGTATTTTGCATAACATTGACAATAAAAACAAAATTTAATATATATTCGTGGAACATAAAAGGCACATGGTAAGTATTAATATTTTGTAAAATAATAAAATTTAACATTTGACTCAATATTTCTAAATTTTGTGTTAGTAGTGGCCTATAAGTTATCACACTCAATGTCAATAATAATTGTAGTGTAATGTGATAATTGATCAGTTAATTTCTAATATTTTAAAAACGTTAATTCGATAAATGGAATTTTTCGTTTAGTTCTATTTGAATAAAAACAAATTGTAAAGAGGTGATTTTTGAACAAAACGCACCCCAGGATTAATAGCTAATAAAAAAGGGAACATCGGATAGACATAATAACCTAATTATCACAGTAATAAAAATAAATGGATAAAGGAATCAATTGTTGTTATTATCAATTATTATTATTTATTATCATAACTATAAGCAAAAATATTATAATTGTATGAAACTGAATGTTTTTCGGGCGTTTTTAGCTTGAAATTGCTTTGGCCTATATAACTGTGTTCTTTATGGTTTAACACAACTTATAGTTAAGTCCGACATTTCGAGAAACATCATCTTATATTAAAACGGTTTAAAAATATTTTCAGTCTTGACCAACGAATAATTAACAGAATAGTACAAAATCAATAAATTACGTTCGTAAATGAAGCAATCTTAATTATCCGTCTGGTCTGGTTAGTCGTCTTCATTATGAACAAGGGCTTACTTGTTATTCATATACAAATTAACTTTTATCATCCTTCAAAGCGAGATATGATATTTGACAAGTTGACATTTTATTTTGATTTGATTAAATACGAATCAAATTAAAAAGCGTTTAATTACAGATGTACCGGTATGAAAATATCAGTATTGATTCTCAAAAAAGGAATATCTGCTTGAAATAGTACGACTTACCAATTAGTACGATTAGATGTGCTAGGTCCTTCTTACATAAATATCTATTATGACCTTCAAACCAAAAAATTGAATACTTTGTATATCAGAGAAATTTAAGTATAACTGATGGCTATTTTTTATTTGAAACAATTTCAGAATCGATGGTTCATAAGTCTTGTGTTTTTTCTTCTTTTTTTTTTCGATTTGTATAATTCCATTTTTAGAGCCGCGGTGGCCGAGTGAGCTTAGGGCGTCCGACATATATTTGCCATGCATGTTCTGGTTCGAAACCCGGCGTAATCCATCGATTTTTAATCGAGAATTGTTTGAAAAAGTATTATAAAGTGGTCTGAGCATCGTCCTGGATATTTGGACGTTAAGTCCTCCGATGTGACAGAAATTACTTGTAAGTGCCTTTTTGTGAGCAATGTTTATTGATTATAACATTTTATTTAAACTATAGAAATGACGTTTGGTAATAAATTTTGTTAGAACATATTTTTTCAGAGATCGTATCGGAACAGAATGAATTTTTTTTAAAACTTACTCAAATCCAATTATTTACACGTTGAATATTGTAATCTCTTGGACTATATGTAGACTGTATAACAATAGCAAAGAACAATAACGCCCACAAACTTCTCAGCTCGGATCTTCCGACACTTCGGGCAGAAAAGTATAGGGAGTTCAGGTTTCTGTCTCAGGTACAACTCTTACTTCAAGGCGTAGCAATTTTTCTTTTCGTTCATTGTTAAAACATTCAATTAATACGAAAATGATTTTTCTTAACAGTAGCTGGCCATACCTGTTTTCTTTTTCAGTATAAATTTCAAAATTAACAAGAAATTAAAAGTTAGATGGTTGTTAAACTATTGTCGAACCATGATAAGTTCAAAACTGGTAGCGTTTTATATAAAATAAGATACTTATAATTACTGCCTAAATTCCCAAATGTAATGAGACGAAGTTATCATTTTTGTATTAGTCTTAGTCTGTAAACGACTAAAACAAGGAATTTAAATGAACCTTTTTTTAAAATATTTTCCCATGAAGTTTATTCTAGTCTATTATTCTAGCAGTTAATAAAAAAATTAAATATAAAATCTAATGGTTAATAAAAAATTAATAATACCAATCTGCCCCATTCTAGTTTGTCGTATTAACATATTTAATCGAGAAAGGAAGTTTTGGAGAAAAGCCGTTAAATGTATGAGAGTCCACCTGTAAAAAAAAATTGGAACGCCTGGAATTTTTCAACGCAGTAGTCCTTCGCTAAAATCCATCCCGGCGAATGTGCAGTGTTGCATCTCGAATGACCCTGACATGCATCTGTCCTCTAGGGGGGACTTTTATGCGTGCGCGCGTATGTGAGAGCGTAAGTACGGCAAAGTTACCCAACGCGAAATCTAACTATGGTATATTGAATAAATTTTAGCCGAAAACTCATCGCGATTTTATGTGTTCCTTGGCCCAGAAAAATTGTAAAAAAAACAAAAAAAAACAATGAACTGTTTTAATTCTCAAATTGTCTAGGAATTGAGCACGATGGATAAAAAACAACTAAACAGTAGCTACTGAAAAAAAAACAAAAAAAAAAAAAAAAACATTTATTAGCCTGTAGAATGTTTTACGTTAAATTGGATCAGAAATAAAAAAAATATTTGTGTCTTGTTCGAGCAGACAATTTAAAAATCCGAATTAAAGAAAAGATAAAAAAATATAATTATGATTTATTGATATTCGTAGTTAACAGATTATGCTTACATTATCAGAATTCGAATAATTATGTAAAATATCCTTGATTAGTTAGGAACGTGATTGGAATTTTCATAGAACCCCGCATAAAATCGAAACGTCAAATTGTGTCTAAAGTCACGAAATTTATTTTCCACTTGTTCATTTACAATTTTCTTTATTAGGTTAGAATTTTCAACACACCGTTTTAACGCGTGGGCATTTATTTAATATTCACAGATTAATTTTAGGATAAAACAAATCGAATACTAAATAAACTCAGGACTGATTACGGACGAGAAGACGATTCATATCAGAATATTTTCGTTATAAAGGATCGCGTCTCATGAAAACAACAATAAAATTTCGCATAGTAAATGAAGTTATACAGAGAGGCGATTTGCGCTGTATAAAAACTATTAACAATACAATATTTCCTTCTGTGATGAGTAAATTAATCTAGGAAGAAATAATTTACTATTTAAATATCAGACTATTTTAGTTTTAAGTTCGCTCGTCATGACTTTAATACTTGTTTACTGAAAACTCGAAATTATAAAAGCTTATACATAAACATAATAATAAAGTTTTTTATGATGTCTGTAATGGAATTATGAATATTTACAGCGAAACAGTTTTTTTATTGTTATTCCTTGTAAAACTACAAGATAAAAGAGAGAAAAAATTAAATTACTAACTTTTACCGTACGATTTTGTATCATGTGTATTGTTTAAAAAAATAATAAATGTTTTGTTTGTCGGACGGAATTTCTTGCCTTGAGTGTCTTCATGATCTTGCTCTTTGGGTCATGGCGAGAAATGTGCTAGTAGGTGGCTTATAAATTACAAATTTAAATCGATTCTTTTTCAACGTTTCTTTCAAGGCTATCTTCTTCGGGCTGTCTCACCTTTCATTGTAGTATAATTTAGGATAGCATTAGTTGAATATAAGGAACCTTACACAGGTTAGGTTATTTGGTTTGAGCTCCTTTTTGGTTGTTTAAACAGGTTCGATGAAATTTGACAAGTCATTTGTCTTTTAAACGTGTAAAACAAATCCAGGGTTCAAGTAGAACCGTGAGGACGAGGCGAGTGATGGATGTATCTAGTTCAGTGCCAATGTCAAATCAATGGACGAGTGAGGCCGAGTGGCCGCCACCATTTCACATTTCACCCCCTGACGAGTAACGATTTTAGAGAAAATTGTTGTAAAAAGGCAAAAAGGTGGAGGGAGCCGTTCGTTTTTGGAAGGGTAGAGCAGGATGCAGTCGGGGGGCGAGCTTTCCTCCGGATGCGTAGTCCTCTGCCTTGGTAGTAGGAGAATCCCCTCCACAGGGCTCTGTTGGCAACCAAAACCCCCTCTGTGCCCTCAGTCGGTCATAGAAAGCGAAAGCGAGAAGACCTCTGCGGTCAAGAGCGAACACTCACAACAACTCTCGTCGCCGACAACTGTTAGTCGTTTTTTTTGTTTTTTTTTATGTTCACTATTAATAAACTCTGTTTGATGACGTTATCTCAGATACGTCGCGAGGACTGAGACACCGGCATGTGTTCATCTGCAGAAAGCAATTCGATGCAGATCCTCGTAGCTGAACTTTTGCCGAAAACTTAGGACTTTGTTGAGTAGACAATTTTAAACGAAAAAAAATCCTGATGCAGTACAAATATCGTTAAATTCGTCCCTAGGTCCTACGCGTACTTTGTTTAATGACTGGCACTTCCGTTCTCCAAGAGTACAAATTTCAACCGACTCAGGACTTAGATATAAATTTTAAGATGGCACCGAGGAGGAACAACGGCCTGCACGAAGTGCAGAGCATAGTGTCGCTCGATCCCGATGGAATAGAAAACAGCAACGTGACCCGTTGTTGCGTCCCGACCGAGTGCCTGAGAAACCAGGCGCTCATACCCCTCGACGATCTCAGGGAGGCGGTCAGGGTCTCATGCAACAACGAACACTGCCCCATGGGTAGATTCATGCACAGGGAATGCTTCGATCTCTGGGAACAGACCGTTCTCACCTATTTGAAATCCTGCGGGCGAGCGCGTTCCTGGTCCGAGAGGCAGAGGCATCAGAATCTCTGGACGAAGAAAGGCTACGATCTCGCCTTCAAAGCCTGCGGATGCCGATGCGGCCGGGGCCACTTGAAAAAAGACCTCGACTGGTCCCCGCCCCCGCCCGGCTTCGGCTCGAGGGAAGAAGAGATCACGAAGAAGAAGAAAAAACGCAACAAACACAACAACCGGCCGATTCTGTCAGTTTCCGGACAGACCGGGGGACACGGGATACAGCAGTCCAGAAGCGAAACGATTATTTCGCCCTCTGACCTGAGAACGAGAACCGGCTCCCTCTCCTCTTCGACCGGCTCTTCTTCGCCGCCGGCCAGCGCCTCCAGCATCTCACCTGTCCACTCCAGCTCCATACCGAAGAGAAAGGCCAAAATCGACTTCTTCGCTGACAGGTCAGTCCAAATTAATTGTACCAAGCATGCTAAACAACCTCTTCCAATCCGACCACCACGTGACCTACACACATTTATTCACACCAATAATTCTTCCCCCTTTATCACGTTGCACATATTATGGTACATGCTCTGCATTATCTAATGAACCCCCTGAAAGCAGGGGTACTGTGATTAAAAGAAAAAAATATGAACAAATAAGAATAATTCTCCAACCCTTTTTATTAAAATTCATATAAGTTCATACAAATGTCACAAAATATTGCATTTTCAATTAGAGAACAATATTATTATATTAATTTCTCAACTCTGTGACATTTTAACCGGTTTTTTACGCTATCGTTTATCATTAAGAAAGATAACATTGAGCTCAATTATTTTTAATCGATTCTAAATTGTAACATCGCGGAACAATACAGGCTATAATTAGCCGGCAATTTTCAATTTTTCTTCTCTTTGTTTCTTCATTGTTTTAAAGTTAGACGAGTTGAAATATCAAGGTCGTAAGTTGTCTTCATTTTCGTTTTTCCTTAAGAAAGAGAAAATATTGTTTTTGCAACAGTAGTGACTTAAAGAAATCAACCATCTATGATGTATATGGTCCAGATATTTTTTCAAATTGCGTCGGGTGGACGAATTGAACTTTTTATCGACTCTTATCTTTTGCCTTTTTTTTTTACTTGCGTTTTTCTTGCTAAAGATGCTTATCGTTATTTATCATATATTATAATGAAGATGACTTGCCGATGATGAAATAGTAAAAGGTTGACAAAATATGAATATAAGTTCAATTTTTTTCATACAATCAAGGACGTTTGTTCTCTTAGGTACGATTATCCTACATTTGACAATTTTGTCTGATTTTTTACCCACATCCTCTCCTTTTTCCGTTCGTAAACAAGGGCGGAAAAGGAGTTTTCCAGACGGTTTCAGCCGGTTGTTCCTCTTTAGTAAGTTCTGCTTTAAGGGTGAATGAAAGGGTGGGCCGGTACGAAGTAGGGACGAGGCCACCCTTACACAACTCAACCTTAGGGCTTTCTCTCCTTATTGACTCCTGCCCGACCGTCGCTCAGACCGCCTGGCATTCAGAAACAGTGCCTCAAGGAAGGCCCCGTCCGTGATTAATACCCCTGTCGTCCCTTGCATATCAAAAAACATTTATCTCGACCGTCGAAACGAACCATTTATACCTTACCTATTAATTTTCGAATGGTAATATTAGAAATAGTATTTTAGACTTTATCGCACCTTGCACGCAATTTCGCAATAAACAGGAGTAAAAGGAGAAAAAAAAACGTTTTGTATGCATCATTTTATTTATTAACTATGATGTGTAACGGAGTGGAATCGATAGAAAAATGCGTTCAAAACTTTTACAACTCCTGTTTACACCCGTGCATGCGTGTTTTTCATTTGGCAGAATGGCTGTATAATTTTTGTTTTATCTGGATGAATAGTCAGTCAATAACCGTTGCCCAGCGGATGAAATGTTTGGAATGCCTTACCTAAGCTCAAGCTAATTCAGCACGAGTACGTAAAGTACTTTGGTGAAAAATTATTAAACATTTTTTGACAGTAGGAATCGATTGAAAAAGTTTTTAAAAATTAAATTGTACAGGAGCACAGAAGATTTGAATTTGTAAGAAAATGGTCGTTTTTCCCGTCTTGGAAATCACATAAATAAAATCGTCACCAAAACAAGCTAAAAATCGTATTTGGAACACTACGTAAACTTAAAATAATTCCATGATTTGTTTTATTGTAGTCACAAAGTACCTGGTATAATGCATAAATATGTGGCAAGAAATGGAGAAATTCTTAAGGTTTAAGCCTTTACCAGAACATTTTTAACCATTTCGTGGCAAATAATATAATAGTATTTATTTTCCATTGTCATTAACTAATGTACATTGTTGACCCACAAATATCCTCACGAGCTTTCTTTATTTGATCATTGTAAGTTACTCTATTCAGATTTGACTATATGTATTAATTATTTAGTCAACGATTGAAGTTGAATAGAAGATCTAAGATAACAAACGTACAAAGCAAAAGTAAAATAAACATTTTTCTTTTCAAAAGAAGAAAGAAATAAAGAAAAAATCGTCATGGTATATATTTTATATGAATGTCATGTGGGTTAGTTAGGTGATACTTTTTTTTAATGCCACTAAAATGTTTAAATAATAAAAACAGAGAAGAAATAAAACAAAAGAAAGTTTAGTCTAAAAAATTCTTTAATTTAGTGTAAAATCTTAATTAATTTAAATACCTTTTTTTAAATGTTTTTAAAAACTACAAATACATTTCATAATTGAAAAATATACCAATTTTCCGACAATACTCGCCGTAATATTAGGCCATTTAATTTTTGTGCCTTATTTTGTGATTTATTTTCATTGCAAATGTAAGATATATGGCATAATAAGGCAATAAAATATATGCTACTTTAAACTAATTTGTTTTTTTAGATAAACTAGAATAATCAAAATATTATCTGGTTTTCCTTTTTAACTTGTATGCTAGTAGATTAATCAATAAATTGACAAGGGCTACCAATTAAATAAGACAAGTACACGATAGTAATAGTAACGTGAAAGTTTAATTAAAGTTATTTAAAAAAACTTCTTATTTTTTTATAAAACATATTATTTTGATTATTCTAAATTAAGGAAGGCTTTTTTAAGTGAAAAGTAAAGTTAAAATTAAGTACCTTTATATTCGAAGGAATTAAACCTTTATTGAGTCTGCAAATTAAAACTTATATGGATTAATTGACAAATAAATTTGTTAGGTTATCCATTGGAATAATTGTAACTAGTAACATTAAGTGTAAAACGAAAAACATACAGAAAAATTCGTGAAACATATTTTGCATAAATCAATTAAACAATTAAACCTTCCATGTTATACTTTTTTAATAGAAAATATCATTTTAAGTAAGTTATGCCTATATAATTGTTATCAGCCTTTAATATTGTAATTTTGTGTTAAAAAATTGGCCAATTTAAAATAAATGCGTAAAAGTTAGGTTGTTCATGACTAACTTAAAGTATCCGACATTCGTACCTGTTTTGTACAAAATATCATTTTAATTAAATTTTATCGATATAATTGATATCGGCCGGTAATAGTATAATACAATTTGAAAGAAAAGAAAATAGTCCCTTCTTCAAAACATTTTTTTAAAAATATTTTTTAAATTTTTTATTGGCTTGCGATTCACATATTTAGCAAAATACGAATTCCGTTGCTGATACATGATATATAGTTTTTGTTGGAGGGTAGCGTTAAAAAAAAATAAATAAATAAAAAAAATGCCAGGGGCGACGGTAGGAATAGAACTCAAGACCTCGGGTCTACGAGATGAGGCTCATACTGACTACTCGGCTACTTCGAATAGGATGGTTATAGATAACTTTGTAAGTGTTGTTAAACAATTCATATTCAGAAAAATTTGTAAAATCCATACTCGACATAGAGAAAGTACGCTTTTATAACACACATTGAAAACAAAACCTTTTTTGAAAGAACTTTCATAGGTTATTATTGTTTGCAAAATTTTATAAAATTTATATGTAACAAGTATGGTAATTTATTATTCGTTCATACACATATGGTGTTATACATTAATACATGTATTGTCGAATTGATTGTACAGAATTTATTTTAAGAATAATGCTATTTTGGTGTACGGTGTTATATCTTTTGTTTATAAATACGCATTTTGCTTAAGTGCGTTAGATCTAGCAAGATATGCTTAAAACTACTTTTCTATGTAGACAAAGTTTTGTGATTCGAAGATGCAAAGGTTGTCGAAGTTTATTTCCAAGGCGGTTGGTCCACTAGCCGGTAGATCTTCCGGCCTTGTTTTATTTTTCCCCCGAAGGCTTCGGCAGGATAAACGGGGAAAAAACCTGAACGATTGCGCGTCAGCGTTATGCTTATGGCGTCGGGCGAACCCAGGGGAATAACAAACGCCTTTTTTCCTCGGGGCGGGGAGCAGAAGGCAGGTGGTGGCCTTGGGGTTGGACTTGGGAGTTGGGACTAGGGCAGTAATGCTTCCGCCGGCAGCCCTTGCTCACTTCCGTGGAAAAAAATAACAGGGAGAAAAACGCAATTATGCTATTGCGACGGAGGCACTGGAGTAAGTTAACAATTCTCGCGGTAATTGGTTTGTAAAGTCGAAATTGGGGGCTAGACACTTCTAAGATGAAGATCTTAAGCCCAATCTTTTAGGACGTCCAAAAATCGAGTAAATAACACATTGATGGGGTGTCGTAACTTCATAAATAAAAATACCATAATTTTTCGCAACTTCAAAAAAAAGCATCTATCAATTTATCTTATTTCGAAGGACAAAATTGGGATATAACAATTCGTGTAAAAAAATAGAAACTATTGTAAACCGCGGTTTGCCGTGACTGTGATGAAGGTAATCAGAACAGTCCAATCATTCCATTTAGGACTTCCAAAAAATTAGTAAATAACGTATTGACGGGATGTCATAACTTCATAAATAAAAAGTCAATCATTTATAGCAACTTCAAAAAAAAGCAACTATCAATTTATCTTATTTCCACAGAAAAATTGTGATATAACAATTCCTTTAAAAAATTGAGACTATTGAAATCGAGGTTTGCCGTGACTTTCACAAAGATAATCAGAACAGTCCAATCATTCCATTTAGGACTTCCAAAAAACTACTAAATAACGTATTGACGGGATGTCATAACTTCATAAATAAAAAGTCAATTATTTATCGCAACTTCAAAATAGCATCTATCAATTTATCTTATTTCCACGGAAAAATTGGGATATAACATTTCCTGTAAAAAAAAATTGAGACTTGGAAACCGAGGTTTGCCGTGACTATGATGAAGATAATCAGAACAGTCCAATCATCCATTTAGGACTTCCAAAAATTAGTAAATAACGTATTGACGGGATGTCATACTTCATAAATAAAAAGTCAATCATTTATAGCAACTTAAAAAAAA